TTCTTGGAGGTCATTGGAGGGTGCCCAAGTTTCTATACACTTGGAGAAGGGTTCGGTGACCAGGAAGAATCAGAGAGCAAGTTTTTCAGCCTGATTTGAAATCADAGAAAAGGGATTTCGAAGCTAGMTCAGAGAGCAAAGTGTTCGGCCTGGTTTGAAGTTCAAACCAGAGATACTGTAAGTTGTTTTCTCAGTTCTTTACTGAGTTATTTTGTTATTTGGAAGGTTTGTTAAAGCATTCAAAGCACACCTCCATTCGGCCCATTGTTGCTGGACTGGTTCTACTCAGAAATTTCTGGGTTATTCTGGAAGTGTGGTTCRRYTGTTATTGGACTTCCAAMYTGCTGAAAACTGATCTAAACTAAGTGGTACAAGCCTCTACTTTAGTTCAGCTACTTCTTGGACCTATACGGAGTGTTCTTGAAGTGATTCTTACTTGTTAAAGTGGAGTGTTGACTGCTGCATACATAGTGTTTGTAAAAAGGTCTCTTAAGTAYTGTGGATTATATTTTTTGTTCTCTTTGGGAAAATATTGTTGGGAACCAAGAATACATAGTGTTTGGAGGTCGGCTGATTGTTCCTTGAAGGCTGAATCAGGCTTCCTTCTTCTTGAAAGTGCTGCCACCGAACTTGGTTCTCACGGCTGTTAGGCCTGAATTGAGTTTGTGAGTTGCTGTGTTTGTTGTTGATTCAACTCAATCTGAGTTCTTTAAAATCAGTATACTATTGGTAGCTTGCCGAAACCCTAATTTGAGTTGTTACATAATGGACTTCTCAGAAACTGAGAACAAGAGTACTGCTGAATATGGACATACTTCGGGAACTACAACTGATTCCTTGTTGGCTGTAACTACAGTTAAACTAGATGGAACCAATTATTTGGCTTGGTCACAATCCGTAAAAATTCATATTTGCAGCAARGGGAAGTGGGGGTTTATCTCTGGGAGCAAGAAAGCTCTCCCAGTGGATGATCCCTCTTATGAGAAATGGGTGCAAGAGAATTACACAGTGATTGGGTGGCTTATGAATTCAATGCAGCCACAGATTAGTCAGCATTATCTCTGGATGAATTCGGCTAAGGAAAT